AAAAATAACTAAATAATTGTGATCAACACAATGACCAACCACAATTCTAGAGGACTCATGATGAAATTTATTTGCAATGGGGTTTTGTTTTTCTTGCTTTCTCAATGGGGGAGGGAGGAGATTAGAGGGAAAAAATGTGGATCTGAAAAAATATATTAATTATAATTAAATATGGAATTTAAAATGCTTGTTGATAGATTGCTTGCCTTTCTGTGTGATCATGGGCAAATCATTTAACCTCTGTTTCCCTATATATAAAATAAGGATTAAAAATACTTGTTGTGCCTACCTGCATTTGATGGATAAGTTTGGTGAGGAAAGTATTGTGAAAACTACTTTTATAACCACTGTTATAAACTCGAGTATTTATTATTAGCTGTATGGGGAGTAGAAGATGCAATTACCTGGAACTAAGTTAGCAGTCATTGTACTGGCAGAGAGCATTGGAATATTCTCATTGCTCCTCCAAACTTTGAATTTTGTATTTCATCTGAAAGATTCAGTCATTCATTAACTCCTGCCTCCCTTCTTCCCCTCACGCCTCACCCCCTAACCCCCTCCCTCAAGTAGGGAAGTCCCTTCAGAATCTGCCTAGCACACCTTCTGGCAAAGGTGATTCAGTGGAGTGACAGGGACGGTTCAGCCCGTTACCCAGACAAGGAAAACAAAACTTTCAGAAGGGGGGGGGAAACACGCCCAAGTGCCAAAACTATGAGTCAGTTGCTGTACTCCTTGCACCCTTCAGAAAAGGTGGAGTGTATCAATAATAAGAAAAAGAAATAAACCCTACCTCACTCCACCCTGGTTTCTTCAGATACCTCATTTAGAGTAGTTGACTCCTACCAGAAAGGTCCCCTCCCATCTCATTACATACCCAAGACTCCCATCTCAATAGTAATAATGATGATGATAGTAATTAGGACACTTTGAATTTCCATAGCATCTGTCTACTAAGGAGTTCAAAATAATTCCTGTTCATGTAGGACACTGGATAGCTCTAAGACAGAGAGTAGAAGAGTCCGTAAAGGGACATGGTTGTTGTTTGTCCTTAGCTCTCAAAGAGGACCCTGACATCAAGTGATACCATGACATAAAAGTGAATTGGATTTAAGTGAGGGAGGATTGTGCAAATTCACCAGTCATACTTTCTCCTCCAAAGCCATCTGGGTCCAATGGCAAGATAGGCAGGAAGACAGGAGATAGCCCTGGAGGCAGTGGGAGGTCTTGGCCTTTTTAAGCTAAGGTCTTTAACAGGTCTTAGTTTGATTGATGCCCATTCAGTGGTTAAGATTAGGTAAGAAATGAGGCAGAGAATGGCCTCTTTTACCTAGTTAAAAAAAAAAATCATTCTGGAAGGGGAAGACCCTTAGGGTTTCTGGCCAAAACAGAAATAATTGCTATTTACATTCACTCTGAGCCACTCAGGGCCCAAACAATGACCAAGTGGAGGTTGGCCTGGGACTTGTAGTTGGTCAATCAATAAGAGCCAGAGTTATTTGTGTTTAAGGCATGGTCCTTGAAAAAATAATCTAGACAGTAATCCCCAAGATATCTTGCTAGGTTTTAGGCATCAAAACTTATATTCCTTTGGGCAGAGCAGGACTTCCTGACTCTAGGCCCAGTATTCAGTCCTCTATATAACTTAACTAACTCAATCTTAAAAGCAAATTTACCTGATAGAGGTGAGCCAAGGATTTTGTTGGCAATAGCACAAGGCAGTGGAAGAAGCAACGGATCAAGTGTCAGAGAAGTTGGATTCAAATCCTGGTTCCGCCACTATTGCCTCCTCATATGTAAAATGATGGGTATTGGACTGGATGTTCAGTACAGAACTCACTATCTTCCTCCCCTCCTCTCCCTCTCACTTCTCCCTTCCTGCCATCCCTATTGTTGTTGTTCGTCCTTCGTTTTTGAAGAGGATCCATAATGTCACAAGACCATGTCTTGACTCATTCCTGAATTGGATTTAAGCCAGGCGGAGTTTCACAAAGTCAGCCTCACTCTCTTCCTGAGTCATCAAAGTCCAGTGGCAGGACAAAAGTCAGGTGAACCGGCAAAGGCCCAGGATCCAGTAGATGACCTTGGCATCTTTGATACACTCCTTAGCACCTGCTTTAGCAGCCTTCATAGCCCATGGAGGATAACCAAAGGGTCACAAACCTGTTGGTGAGTTGGGGGGAGTCTACCCCAAGCATGAGAAGACTTCCCCTGGAGGAATGGGTGAGTGAGAATAATGTGTTCCAATGGCTCTGCCATCCCTATTACTGTAAAAGGCAACACCATCCTCCCAGTCCCTCAAGCTCACTACCCAGGAGTCATCTTGGATGCCTCACTACCTCTCACTCCCCATATGTAAGCTGTTGCTAAGACCTGTTGATTTCACCATTGCAACATCTCTCTAATACACCTCCTTTTCTCCTCTGACACTGCTACCACTCTAGTGTAGGCCTTCTCTACTTCATGCCTAGACCATTGCAATAACTTCCTGGTGGGTCTGCCTGCCTTAAGTCTCTCCTTACACTAGTCCATCCTGTATTCAGCTGTCTAACTGATTTTCCTAAAGCACAGGTCTGACCAGGTCAGACCTCAGGTCTGACCTGAGGTCCTCTCCTCAACAAAATCAAACCCTATCCCCTGGGAACAAATACAGAATCCTCTATTTGGCATTCAAAGCCATAACTTAGCCCCCTCCTACCTTTCCAATCTTTTCTCACCTTACTCTCTAACACATACTTATTCCTCAATCCAGTGACACTGGTCTCCTGGCTGTTCTCCAAATAAAACACTCCGATCTAGGTTCTGGGCATTTTCCCTGGCTGTCCATTCTCAACTCTACCTACTGACTTCCATGGCTTCCTTTAAGATCCAGCTAAAATCCCTTCTTTTACAGGAGCCTTTTCCAACCCCTCTTAATTCTAGTACCTTCCTTCTGTTAATTATTTCCTATTTATCCTCTATATAGCTTGCTTTGTATGTATTTGTTTGCATGTTATCTTCTTAGATTGTAAGCTCCTTGAGGTCAGGAATGTCTTTTGCCTCTTCTTGTCTTCCCAGTGTTTAGCACAGTGCCTGGCACAAAGTAGGCTCTTTAAAAATGTTTATTGATTCATCAATCAATAAAAGGTCCTTAGAAGGTCCTTCTGGTCCCTTCTAGGTCTACATGGTCTGTTCCCACCTTCCTCGGACACAGTTTCTAGTGGGGTATATACCTGAAATCTGTCCATTTTTGGACAATTCTAATAATTAGAGCCCTTCAAAAGTAGAATCAGCTATGTTCAATCAACAAATATTTCTCATACACCATCTAAGTGTCAGGCATTTCCCTAGACAGTGGAGATACAGAGACAAAAATGAAATCCCTGCCTTCATGGAGTTGACATTCAAGGTGTGTGTGTGTGTAGCAAAATAGATACATTTTACATATGAATCAACACAAAATATATACAAAGTAAATACAAGGTAGTTAGGTAGGAGTCAGGGCGCTAGCAGTTGGAGGAACCAGGAAAAACCTTACTGTTGGAGGCTGTTCTTGAGCTGAGCTTTGAAGGAAGCCAGGAATTCTAGGAGGGAGAGATAAAGAGGGAGGCTGTGGAAATGCATGGAAATGGAAGACAGTATGTCCAGTGAGGGCCAGTTTGGCTGGGGGTATGAAAGGATTATGTACAATTAAGGCTTGGAAAGTAGGGTGCACACACAAAGTGAAGGGTTTTAAATACTAAACAGAAGAATTTGCATTTTGTCCTAAAGCCATTAGAGAGCTTTTGGAGCCTGTGAATAACATCGACACTCATGGTTTAGGAATATCACTTCAGCATCTGTGTACAAAGGATGGATGGCAAGTTTTCAAGATTCTGTGATGTTTGGGCTAGAATCTCTGGGCCTCAGTTTCCTCATTTGTGAAATGAAGGGTATTGAGGAGATCACTTGTTCTCAAAGTGTGGTCTGGGAGTCCCTGAGACCCTTTTAGGGAGATCTGAGAGGTCAAAAAATTTTTATAACACTGAGATGTTTTAATTTCTAACAAGGTAAATATTGATAGATCTAACCTATATAAACAAAAGCTCTTTGGGGTCCTCCAAAAAAAAGTGTAAAGGAGCCCTGAGACCGAAAAGATCATAGATTTAGGCCTGGGAGAAGCCTAAGAGGCCATGGCATCTAACACGTTCGGTTTACAGAGTAGGACTCTAAGGTGCAGAATTTAAATAATCTGCCCAGGGTGTTATAGAGCCAATAGAATCAGAGGTGGAATTTGAACCCAGGTCTTTTTACTCCAGGTCTAGTGGTAGTACCCGATTCCTTCTTACTGTCTGAGGAGGTTCTTTTCTAATCCTTAATTCTCTGATCCCATAAGCATTTGCTAAGTCCCTTTTCAGGGTCTCCGACATTTGGTCAACCACCCCCGGAGGTCTTCTTGCTCATTCCTATCCCCACTTTCTATTCTTACTTTAGAGAGAGCCTCTCTCAAAGTCCCCCATGACTCCCCCTCTCCTCTCTCTACTATTTAGAGATCTTTGGTATCATGGTCCCTCCTGGCCTCAGTTTCCTCCTCTGTAAAACGGGGAAATTGCATTAGCTTCCTATGATCCCTTCCTTACTCTCCTGCCCTTCCCACATCTACTCTCTTCATTCCCAGAGCATTCCCTTCTCTTCCTCCTTCCCAGGCCACTGCTCCTCCCCCGCCCAGTGGCTCCCGCAGCCCCCTCCACCTCTCTCCCTCTTCCCGCTCCTCCTCCTCCTCCGTCAGAGACAAGGTCGGGGAGGGAAGCCAGGAGAGAGGGGAAAAGGGAGGGGGAATCTCCGGGAGTTCTGATTGGTCGGCCGTAGCACCGGCTCCCCCTTTTGATTGGCCTGCGGGGCGCGGGTCTGCAGGGCAGGGTGCGGCTCGGAGGCCCCACCCCCGGACCCTCCTCACGCTGAGGACGAGGAGGAAGTGGCTTCCCCTCTCCCCGCCCTCGCCCGCAGCCTCCTCCCTCCCGGCTTGCTCGGCTCTCGGTTCTCGGCTCGGCGGCGGCGGCGGCGGCGTGAGCGGGTAGGTGGAGGCTGCGTCGGGTCGGGGGCTTCCCCCCCTCCTCCCATGCCTCCCTTCGGGGCTCCGACCCCCGCCGTCCCTATCCCTGGGTCCCCTGAGGAGGAGCGGCGGGGTCGGGCGGTTCTGGGCGGGGTGGGCCGAATCTGGACCCCTGGGGCGTGACCCGAAGCTGGACGGGGCTCCCCGGGGAGGCTGGGAGGGCGCCCCGGGCGTGATCTGAGACGGGGAAGGGGCGCCCCCGGGGAGGAAAGGGACCCTCTTGAGGCGTGACTCTAGGCGGAGATGGGGCACCCCTGAGAGGAGGGGAGGGGGCGCTGCTAGGGCGTCTCCCTGGGCGGGGAGGGGGCGCTCCCGGCGCGTGATCCTAGGCTGGAAGAGGGTGCCCCTTGTAGAAGGGGAGGGGGCGCTCCGGGTTCATGACCCTAGCGGGGACGGGGCGCCACTGGGAGGTCGGGAGGGGTCGCTCACGGGGCGTAACTCGGGGTGGGGAGGGGGCACTTTTAGGACGGGGGGAGGGGCCGGGCGCGGCCAGAGGGGCCGGGGGCGCTTTAGGGCGTGGCCTGTGGGGATCCGACTAAAGGGGATCTTTGCCTTGGGGGTCTTCACTTGCTGAGCTCTGGGATGGGGCTGAGCACGTGGGTCCTGGACAGGGGTGGGGGAGGGTCCCCTGTGATGAGCCTCCGGGGTGATTTGGGCTGCGCTGATTAGGAATGGGGGCGGGCTGTATAGCCTCAAGGAAGGACCATCCGCCTTAGGTGGGGATGATGGGGTGGAGCAAGAAGTCTCTCACATCCTGGGGCTAGCGCGAGGGCAGTTAGGGGCCACATCACAAACGTGTAATTTGACATTTGGGCATCAATTCAGTAAACATTTATTAAGCGCCAGTTACTGTGTTAAGCATTAGCGGTCTTCTCCATAGGGATGGGGTTGCAATTTCTCCCCTTGCCTTGAGGACGTGGGCAGTGATTTTTTTGTTCAGGGAGAGGGTACCCTTGTTAACTATGAACTCAGTTTTGCCCTCCAGGGAAGTGCCTTGGGACACCTTGGGGACTTCATTCCGGCGAAGGAATGTACGGTTGCAGCGTAGACCTGGCATCTTTTTGGTGGAGGCAGTGATTTGCCCCTGGGTTTTTTTGGGGGTTGGGGGGAAGGGATAAATGCCGATTAGCTCTTGGTAAAGTTTAATGTAGATAATTTTCTTCTGGAAAAACCGCTCCTTTCTTTCCCCGGTCTAGTTACAGTATCACTCTCCAGGGCCTCTCACCACTCTCCCTGTGGTTGCAGTCCTTTGCAATGTGTATTTGCCTCTTCTGTATGTGTGTGTCTCCCGCCCGTTTCCCTGCGTGCTGCACTTTTGGCAGCTGCCTGTACTCTTTCCCAGAGATGGTTGTGGCATTGCATCAGGGGGTATTTGTGCTTGTAATTTGGTCATCCGGCTCAGGATAAGGGAGAAGCGTTTGCTACATATTCTGGCACCCACCCTCTCCCTCCCCCAGGCTAGGGAAAAATGGGTGTGGTGAGTAGATACAGCTGACTCTGGGCCTATAGTGTAACACTGCCCAGTCATCAGCCTAGAGAGATTCAAATACAAGTAGCTGCAGCTATTTTTATAAATCAGTCTTGAATCCAGGCTGAGCACTTGGATTTAGGGGGACCAGTTGTCATACTTGCACTGTTATAGGTTGTCTGTTTAGTAGAAGTATTGTCCCTGTTTTTGATCACTAGATCTCTCTGATTGCTGTGGGCCCTTAGGATTGAACTACCCTTTTGAGGCTTTACTTAAATTGATAAGATTTAAAGTCCCATTCAAGTTAACATGCTTCATTTCTTTGGGGAAAAAAAAAACTTTGCTTAAATTTTAACTCTTCTTTTTCAAACTTAGTTTGAAAAACAAAGTTTTTTTTTTTTTAAACAGTCATTCTCTGGGCCTCTAATCCCACCTAACCAAACTCAGTAGAGACTGATTTATAAACCAGAAATTTTGATTTATTATCTTATGATGGAAGACATACCTGTCATAAAGACCATAATGGTACTTATGTGCTAAGAAGGGTATCTCCTTCCTTTTAGGAAGTATAATTAATAATCAGAAAGTTGTTTGATGAGTATGAAATTAGAGCAGAGGGAGCTGGCTGTCCTGAAGGGATATTTTCATCTATCTCATAGCTTGGTGAGTCATACATCTCCATTAGAGGAAGAGACCTATCACACAGGAATGCTTGGGTGTTTGTTGGTTAGGGTACTGTCTCCTGGGAACACTACTGAGAAGACACAGTTTTTTTCCCGGATGATGTTATGCTTAGAGGAAGGTAATCATTATGATGAAGGGCCCTGAAACCATGGGTCAATTAAAGGAAATGGAGGGAGGGGGGTGATAATCTGGAGAAGAAGAGATTTGGGGACATTGTTTGCCTTTAAATAGTTGAAGGGTTGTCCTGCAGAAGGGTTAAATTTGTTCTGCTTACCCCAAGAGGGCAGAATTAGGAGCAGTGGGTGTAAATTCTAGAGGCAGATATCTTTTCACTGACTATAGTCTTTCTGTAATTGTTAATATTAAATATGATCTTTGACATCACCTTTTTAATATCAAGGACAAAAAGGTTGATTTTTTTTTTTAAATAGACAGTTGAGTGTATGGGAACATCTTGATACTGGAGGACATTTTGGCTGCTTATTTAACTTGATCAGTTTGAAAAGGAAACCAAATAAGCCTCATTGGTTTCATATTGTTCTCTTTGGCATGCTGCTTTTATAAAAGATTAGTGTCATCCTTACTGCTGATGCTAATTGTGTTGAGGACAGTGAGGGCAGAGGAGGCATAGTAACAGCTTATTTGAGATGTATAGGCAGATTATACTCATTTGCTTGTTTAATTCTCAAGGCTAACTTGTTGGTATAAATGTTTCAATTGAGTATTATGAAATTTATGTGGAAATTTTAAATCATAAAAATCAGTCTAGTTTTTTGTTAGTACAAGTTTGAAAAGATAGTTTTGCCACTAGAAATCAATCCCTGTGATTCTTCAAGAGTCCAAGCTCATGTAGAATGTCTTTTAAGAGATAATTAATTTCCGTACCTTTTACCTGGTTGGGGATTAAATTGTGATGTATGGCTGTTTGCTTTTAAAATACTTTGTGCTCATTATTTTAAACAAATCTTTATGGATAAAGGGATTTTTAATCTATTTCTCAGCCACAGTAGAGAAGTGAGGTAACTTGGCCTAGGTCAGGCACAAAGTCAGTGACTACAACTAAGAGTGGTGCCTTCTAAGTCCTGTGCCTTTTTATTTATTTATTTATTTTTTTGAGGCAAAGCAGTCTTTTCTGTATCAGATAACTGACTAACAAGTCAATATTGTCAGTATAGATAAGGTCTCCCTTCCTGGTGGGATAGCCTCTTTCAACTAGAAAAGTTTTTGGTTTTCAGCCAGTTGTTTCAGCTAAAAGTTTTTTTAAAATTAGCATAAGAGTGAGAGAATCAGCAGAATTCTCATTCTGGACTTTGCCCTAATAATAAATGTTACTGAATTCATAGACGATCAGAGTTGGAAGGGATCTTAAAGCTTGTCTTGTTCAACTCCTGAGAAGTGGTCACCTAACTTTGGCTTAAACACCTCCAGTGACCATGCAGGCCATTCTATTTTCGTATAGCTCTGAGTGCTAGTTCTTCTCCTGTGTTGACCCAATATCTATTTCCATCCTAAGTTCTCTGAACATTGCTCCTAGTTCTGCTCTCTGGAGCTGCACGTATGTTTAATTCTTTTACATGACTACTTTTCACATTTAAACACAGTGACCAAGTTTCTCATCCATTTTATCCAGGCTAAATATTCTTAGTTTCTTTAACTCTTCCTCATATGAATGAATTTTGAGACATTTTGGTTGTTTTCCCCTCCTTGTCCTTCTTCATAGCTGCTCCCCAGACCTGAACTCCATGCACCAGTCTGATTTGACTAGTGTAAAGTATATTGGGACCACCACCTACTTTGTTCTAAATATCGTACTTGTATAGTTGATTTTATGAGCTTAAGTGTGGGATTTACATTTGTTCCTGTTACATTCCTTGTTTTTTTAGTTTTGGCCCATTTTTACAAAACCATGAAGATTGTCTTTTGAATTGATGGCTTATTGTCCTTCTCCCTCCCTTCTATCATCTCTTCTCCTGTGCTTCCATTAATATTTTCACTTTCACTTTGTCAGACTGCCTGAAATTCCACCAAGGAGAGGTTGTTAATAGTAACTTAATTTTATGTATTGCTTGAAGGTTTTCCAAGTGCTTTTATCACAACAGCACTGTGAAGTAGGTAGTTCAAGTATTATCTTTCCTATTTTAAAAAGATTAAGTGAAATGTCTGATTTCATCTATGTGGGAACTCACTTTATTAACAGAGAACAAAAATGGCCCATGACCTAGCAGGTAAGCCTGGGGAGTTGCTTGAGACACACAGGTTACCCTAGCTGAGGAATGATTTGAATCCAGGCTAACCTGACTGAAAGACCAACAATCAATCAATCAACAAGCATTTATTAAGAGTTTGCTAGGCATGGGAATACAAAGCCAAAAGACAGTTGACTCCGCCTCCAAGGAACTGTATTTTCTACACTCATATATAAGTATATACGAAGTGTAGTAAGCTCATTAATTGGGGGGAGACACTAGAAATTGGGGGATCAGAATAAGCCTCATAAAGAAGATGGCTCTTGAGCCAGGTTTTGAAGGGAATTAGAGATTTCAGCATTTGGAGATAAGGAGTCAGTGACTACCAGTCATGAGGGGCAGTGTGCATGGTCACCAAAGTTAGAGTTGGTGGGGTGTTAAGGGAATAGCAAAGTGTCCAGATGGGCCAAAGGGTGCTTAAAGAAGTATGATGTACAGTAAGTCTGAAAAGGTAGGATGAGTGCAGGTTGGGAAGGACTAAAACTTCCATTGCAGTTTGTTCTTGGTTCTAAAAGTAGCCTGGAGTTGATTGATTGGGGGAATGACTTGGTTAAATGTGGACT